AACTAACAATCTCTCACTAATTTATCTAGAAACCTAAAAATTAAAGAAAATTGGTATGCATTCTAATAATTTCTACATTGATAACTAAATCTTTTATTTTATTTATTAATTTTTGTATTATAAATCATGTAGTGTACTATTTTTTTTACAGTTGTCAATAATACATTTTAAATTAGATGATATTATAAAATATTTTGGATTTGTTATTATTTATATAATAAAATAATTATAAAATATTGTTGGTATATAATATTATAGTTAGTTAGGCTGTAATAATTTGGATTTTTTTAACGGATTAGGGTTTTCCGCCAATTCGAGATTTTAGTCGCCAATTTTTCATCAATTAGTCAACTCTTTATTGTAGTCCATATATGATTATATACTTAATCCACGATAATTCTATGATTTTTTTTTTGTGATGTAAATTTAATGGTCAACATAAGTTCATACAGGGAAAGAACGTCTCAATATTCATAAATTGATGAAAACAATGAAAGTTAATAATGTAGTACCCTCATTTCTTATTGGATTCCTAAAAAACAACATTTATAATGAATTTTAATAATTTTTTTGAATTTTTTTAAGGCTTAATCCGAGCGATTCGGCCCGATTCCCGATCCGGATCGTCGATTCACCGATCCGAATCGGTTTTTGGGATGCCCGATCCGGGTCACCGATCCGTTTTTTAAACCACTGGTTAGAGCTATTAGCAAGCTTAAGCTTAAGTCCAATCTTTAAAGTGAACCTTTCTCAAAAAACAAGCTAGAAGTCCAAGACATTTATGCCACAAGAAGAAAAACTATAGTCTGAACACTGAAGAGCAGCTATGCAAACCGGCCATCCTATATATAGAAGCAAGGAGATTCTTCGGTTGGTTGCAAAAAGTGGAATTCACTGAAGGTCCAGCTGTTTTTATTTATGGATAAGCACATTGCAGGTTTAACTTTTTGTCGTCTAATGGATCATTTCCAGATTATGTACTTTTAATTGATGGAGTAATACAATGTAGCAAGGGATTCATACTTACCTACCCTGGTTCTGACAAAACAATCCTCATGCCCGAGGGTCCTTAGCATAGAAAGAAAGATGGGGTTTCCCCTCACTAGCTAGGCTAATAATACAGTAACATTCAACATAACAGAGACCATATCCTTGAGCGATCTGGCGTTTCGATCTCATTCAGGATAAATTAGAATACCAATTCAATTAGGCTGACCAAAGGCAAAAGGTCAAAACTCCTAGATGTAACAAGCCAATCAACTAATCACATGTGCATTAGTCAAACATAGACAATCACCTTTAATAAAATAGTTTGGCCATTCTTCACATTTTTATGTATTTATCATTTGATATTCTCTAGGTCAAGTACTTCCCATGTGATCATCATCTCAAAGCTTGTAGCTAAATTGGAGTCTAAATGGGTATCTTGAGACTTCCCCTATACAACAGAAGACAAAGAAGCAGCCCACGGTATCCACACCCATCTCAACAAGACTAGAGCAACTAAAGTTGCAGTGAATCCCCATAACACACTAAAGCAACTGCTATCACAATAGATTGAATCCCCACAATGTCAAATTCTCATCATATAGATTGACGGGTCCAAGTAAAGTCAGAAAGAATATGAAAAATCGAAGACAATAAGAAGAAAGGTCCAAACCAAATTTAAGCATCTTCAAAGGTATATGGTTTGGTGCAGCTACAACCAGATAAACCAAAAATATGATCTAAAAAATCCGTTTTAATATAAAATGGAACAATCAGATTTAGAGCATTTTAGGAGCTCCAGATCCATTTTTGTGATGTAGAAGGAACTGCCGGTGTTTTGGAGTGTTTTTTGGTCCCCAATCCATCAAAGAAATAGATCTAATTTCATCTATGGTTTAAGGTGCTACACTGTGAGCAGGCCCATTTTTAAATTGTCAGAAGTCCAAAGCACAACACACGAAAAGAAGAAAAGAAGAAAAAAAAAAAAAAACACGTATTAGCAAAGATAAAATAGGATCAATTACTCAAAACCTAGTTTTTTGACCGATACTAAAATTCCCTTGTTTTGGCCAAAGAGTGTGCCTTTAAACTTTTTAACACCTCAAACTCTGTTGGGGTTCCGTTGATTGGTACTAGAATACTCCTACGCATTCCAAGCATTTTGACCTACAAGAGTTTCTCAATAAATTCAAAAAGTTCCTGTTATAGTATGTTGCCAAAGCCCAAACCATGGATCCCAATTTAGCTGTTTATGTCAAATGTAGCATATGTAAACAAATGGTTGTATTTTCTGGCCAATGTTTAACATTGGGGTGATACCTGCCATCAATTTCTTAAAAAAATGACCAAATGAGAGTTATGTTCCGACTTTTGATAATATTGTTTGCATAACCATCATTGTATACAGAATAAGCTCATTTTAACTAAATTGCCAAAACATGAACTTTGTAATTTCTCAGTTATTTGTTGACTTGATGAGATTGATTTAAGGGACATAGTCATTTCAGATCCTTAGGGGAATTATTTCTTATATTTATTTGTTAGGTTTCTATATGTGCCTCGGTGCCTTGTCCATAAAGGCAAGAATGGATCATTATACATTTACATAAAGGGTTCCTTGCACATGATGTAACAATATGTGAGGATCCCTCACCACATTCATGATTTCTATTTGTTAATGCACATATTAACATTAGATCAAACAGTCGAAAAGTATTGTGAAAGTTCTCATAATTCTCATCCAGGAGGCACCAGTTACAAAGAAAACACATACAAGGTTAAACTACTAATGATGTTAAAGTGAACTTATTTTTGAGGGACTGTGGCAATCCTCAACCTAGCAAAGAAATATAAATATGAAGTTTCACATATTTTTAAGACAGTCACGTGCATAGAGATGATAAGGTCACATTCAACGAATTCATATAGATGAACATCAATACCAAAACACCATAATAAACTCCACAGTGTTCAAGAAAGCCAAGACTCACACTGCAAGAAGGCTGGCTGGACCCTCTATCACAGAAGTTATCCCTTCCACTGTGACAACTGCCGAATCCCTCGCGACATACCTTGAATCGCCTTTGCTGTATTCTTTCCCTAGGAGATTGTTATAGGCACAAAATAGAAACTTCATAATTTGAAAACAGATCAAAGGACCAATTGAACCAAATAGAAAGAAACCCGTAAATCCCCATCAAAATGCAATAGATCTTAAAGAAAGCCAAAAAATCAGATTACATACAAACTTCTGCAAAGTAGCAGGGTGATTTCTTCTTGTAAAACTCTGGCGCGAAAACAAAGTATCCCTCAATAACAATATGGGTTAAGCCAGTAAATGCCCACCAACACATGAGAATCCGATCAGTTTTTGTGATCTTGGAACAGCGCCCTGAAGTCAAGGGACAACAAATCTCAGACTCCCCATAAGTCAAATGATTAAACAAGTGAAAAAATACTGAAACAACTAGTTCATCCCTCAGTTCCCTTTATAGATAAATAGAACAACGAACAAAGTTTATTGGGTAAAATTATCGAGTGCAAAAACGGTACTGCACATCTTAAATTAACTCAGACATAAATACAAGTAGTTGGAAATTTTGGGCTTTTTCGTTATCAAATTAAATGAAACATAGGAAAAAGGGGTGAAAAAAGAAGAAGAGAAGATGCAATCATGTTTAAAATTTCCTTCAATCAATTACGTAAATTGCACATGGAAGAAATAATCAATTGATCAGCAGAATATATTAATAAGAGAAAAGGCAGATCTGGAGACTATAATATGGAATGTTCACAAACTGGACATGGAGAAATTGCCATGCCAGTACCTTTCATGACCCAACTATTAGCAGAAGAAATTGACGAAGATAAAAATTTTCAAGTAAAATACAAAGCATATTGATAATATGCAAAATAGAATTGTTTTAAAAGAGAAAGACTCCACAGTTCCATAACAATAACGCACAAAATGCAATAGTGCTAACATGCTACAAACAAGAAGCATTACACTGAAATCCAATCAGAGAACAAAAGATGAATAGATCTTTATCTGAATAGGTCTTCATCTGAGAAAATTAGAAAACATAAAATATAAATTGAAATGAAAACATCATTAAAAAAAAAAAAAGCCCCAACATAAGGAAAAATGCTAGGATTATACCAAAACAAAGGCACATATACATGAACAAACTCACGAAGAACCTTCAAATATCTCAATATATGACTTCAAAGAGGTAAAAAAACCGGTATACAGCGAGAGAGAGAGAGAGAGAGAGAGAGAAAGAACCTGCAACAAGGTTAAACAATGGTAATTACAGAGAGAGAGAGTACCTGAGAAGATCCAAATGGTAAAGACTACAAGCAGTGTGGCTACGCCATAAACTCCGACGATGGTGGATTGAGGGAGAAGACAGGGCACGTAATCAGGCAACTGAAGATCAGGAGGGTTGTATGGATGAGAGACGAAGGTTTCAGCCATGATGACAGAGAGAGAGAGAGAGAGAGAGAGAGAGAGAGAGAGAGAGAGAGAGAGAGTA